AGTTTGTTATGGTCGTTTGTTATTGTTATTGTTTATCTCCCAGATCATTTTTAAAAGCGATTTCTTGCAATATCTCTCTTTTTTTTTTAGTTGAGCGTTGAATCTATCTTAATTCATCATAACAATGACTTCGCGATTACACCTTTCACTTGAAGTCCTCAATCAGGAGTAGAAGTTGACGTTAAAGTGTTGGCAATTTCCGAGAAACCGTCACGGATCATCTAGTATTTCATTTCCAGGAAAGAATACCATAGTAGACAGTATTTTCAATCGAGTTCTCGCCTGAAATCCATTAAATTTAACAACGTTACTTATCAGAGCTGATGGTTCCTGATTTGGCTCACGAAATTACAGCAGCTCTATAATTCTGTAATGCGATCGCCGTCTCATGAACGCAAGTTTATTGAATTAGATAAAACTTTTGGTTATCTACAAAATAATGAGCTGCAGATTGAAGGCTTTTGAAATGCATTTAAAAGAGCTCAACAGACAACAGCTAGAACTGAGTCTACAAGGAAGACTTAGGAACGCGACTTATTGACGCGGAAAAACTGGTAAAAGGAATGTTTCTTTTGCAAAAGTGGTAAATATAAATATATTTCTACTTTCTTCATCGGCTCCCGGAGTGAAACGCACTTTAAGAATGTATCCGCCATAGAGTAGCATTTCGACGGTGTTTGCAAGGATTCCTCGAAATAATTTGCTTAGAGGTATGTACCTTGTTACCTTGCATGGAGCAACTATGGAATACAGACCCACTTAGGTCCAGTAGTGCTTGTGTTCGACGTCCAATCAATTTCGCAAGTCTGAAATAAAACATGTCAAATAGAATGAACACTCGTGGTCCGCGATTCGAAAGTGTGCGCATGCTCAGATACCAATCTTGGCCAAGTTCTCCTCCATTGCGAAGTGTTTTACGACAAAGAAAATAGGGATATTTCGACTAAGATTTATTCCGTTTCCTTCGGTGGAATTTCCTAAGATTTGCTGGACCGTTAAACATGTTTGTGCCCTTCCTAGTGCCTGTTGATGAAAAAATCTTAGGACCAAATTTGAGATAGAGGAAGAAAACACAAAATTGCAAATAGCGAGGAAACTGCCTTTGTAACCCTTATTTTTTTTGGCTTTCGATTGAGCGGCCGGGCAAATTTCACTAATTGTGAAAATTTTGAGAGATTTCACCGAGGCAATTTAAAGGAAATCAAAGGCAAAGCCACATGATCTCTGGCGACCGCCTTCCTTCATGGAGCCTTAGTTTAATTACGAAAATTATTTTGTTAATATCTATTACAGCAAACGATAGTCCGAACCTTGCTCGTCGCATTTTGATGGCTTTTTGTGACCTTGAAAAGTGACAACAGAAAAATATAACGCCGATGCGCACGTCAACATTGAGCAAAAACCCTATAACGCCTCCTTAACTTGTATAACACTGTTTCATCAAAAATTTACCGCAAGATGCTGCAAAATTGATGCACGTTCTTGTCTACCACAGTACTTCGGTGGCCCATACCTTTTATGACTTTTGAATTCAGGAGCTATAGCCAATGACAGCTTTGTCTACACTATATATAAAATGCCAATAGATCCCAAACAGTTTCACTTGAGAAAACAAAAACAGTTCCTGTTCTCTCCCCCCCCTTCCCTCATTGTTGTACTATTATTTCATTTTGATACTTTGGACCTTTTCGCTTCTTTGAAACTAAGGTCTGGTGCAACCCAGCCCTGTATCTTCAGACAAGTGAAGGAACCACTGTCTGGGTGGTAAATTTGAGCTCCCTATTTTTCTTTTATCAATATGTTTCTTACGCATTTATTGTGATTCCCATGTCGCACCTGTGCGTACAACTTCTACTTCTAAAGCTCAACGATTACGCAATACCTCACTGCAATTCTGTTTTCGCAGATCCCGATGATGCAAGCAGACGATCCTGAGTATCAGAAAGTATTCGCCACCATTGACGAGCTTGATTTTGGCTCTTTAAAACCTGTTTTAAACATTACATCACATTACTAAGACCAAGGTCGTAGAATCCCCATCAATTAGGTCATGTTTTCTTTTTCCGATAAATTTTTGGATCTTCGATGAGCAGTTGGGCGAATAGTTGCTAATGCAGACAAAACTCGTAGAGATGATAAGATGATTACAGCTGATTGTTTTTGTTTGACTATCGTGTCGTAGTTTGGCTACCGCTCGTTTTTTTCTTCCGCAGTTGAGAAGCTTTGAATTTTTTTTCTTTTCTCCTTCTTTTTTAGGATAAAACTTTATCATTTATAAAATCAGAGGAAGAATTAAAAGAAATACTTAAAGAGGTAAAATATGACAGCATTTTTAGCACTCGTGATCACAACTATCATTCTGGGCCCGGTTGTTCAAAGATCGGATAACACTATCCACTGGATAAGTCTCTATCCGCTGGATAACGCTATACATTTTGCTATCACTTATCCGCTGGGTAGCGATTTATCCGTTGGGTAGTTTTATCCATCCTTTCTACAACTGGGGCCTGGTTGGTTTCCCTGAGACTCTCCTTGGCTCAAAGTTAAAAGCCAGGAAAGGGTTTTGAGTAAAAGAGGGTCGCACACGGCTCGTGTTGACACACCCCAACTATGGTTGCCTCCTGCATGATAAATGTTTTATATTCGTTTGGGCGGGGTTTTTTACTTACAGTAGCGTTCAGTTACAGAAGACAAACTGAATTAGACTGTTTAATTCGTCTCATAGAAATTATTTGTGTCACGGTGTTGTCTAAGTATCGGTTCAATTTATTCATTATCTTTGATTACATACTTTTTAGCTGGTTTAGTATACGTTTTTACCGGGACACGAGTCCTTGGGCTTGTTTCTTCTGTTGACGACAGTAAAAACGGATGCCTCAATTTTGATCCTTCAGAAACCAGCATTACAGAGAAGCTTAGTGAAAAAGACCTCGATTACAAAGAAGCATGCCAAAACGAAAGAGGGATAGGTAGTACCCCTCTAGAGGAAGAATGGATATCTTCTGGCCAAGGATTCCGTGAAAAAAGCGGAGGGGAAAAGAAAAAAGATGTAAAAGCTCTTGAGAAGACAGGAAACAGTCAAGCTGCCATCAGTGAAGGGGATATAAAAATAGAAAAACGCCTTTCAAAAGGTATTTTTGCTTTGATTATACATACCCGTTGCTGTGGTTACCTTAAGGCCATGAAAATGAGGTCGTCGTTGAGCTATATCATATTAACATCTTGAAAATTATAGCGGAGCTCGCAGAGCGTAGCCCCATAATTATACAAAATAATAGTAACCCATCAAGCCGAAAAAATTTGGATGTACGACCGTACGACCGACCGACCGAACGTACAAGGTGCTACTTTTAGCATGCGCGGCCAACTGTACCACGAGCACTATCTTATAATCAGTCCTTTACACGGACACGGAGAAGTTGCGAATGAAAATCCATTAATATTACCACGCACTTTATCCATAGTAGGGGCTTTAGTTTTGTTGAAGAGACGTACTGGAAAAAAAATGCGAGCTCCGCTTTTAGGCTTGCTTAAAGGGCATGTAAACCCAAAAAACGTTCATTTTCCTTTCACATAGATGTTTAGTAAATATATCAAGTACACCAAAGGTACCATTCGTTTTTTCTCAAAAGTCCATTTTCACTTTGTAAAAGCTCTTCCAAATTCGAAACATTCGCCATCTTTCCTGTGACGTCACGGGTGGACCCTACAAAGTCTTGTTTTATAATCGCGTGAGGCACGAAGGAGTCTTTTCTACAGCCGTTGTTCGCCGGTCTCGTCATGATTTTTTTACTTACAGTTTGCTTCAATATATTCAATTTTTCGTAATGGTAAAGCGTTGTGTCGTCCAGTTTTGTACTGATTTAAACAAAACTGGGCATACAATGCAAATATTTCCAAATGACACAAATTTGAAGCGACAATTTGTGAAATTTGTCCAAGTGAAAATAGCCGATTTCGTCGGCTCGACGAAATCAGCTATTTTCACTTGGACAAATTTCACAAATTGTTTGTAGCAGTCATTTTTCTTCCTGGTGCTGTACCGAAGATTCAGGCCTTACTAGAAGCAAATTATTCGGAAGTACAAAAACGACCCATACAGTCGGTAGACGACGAGGATTCGGAAGTGGCCGACCGAACTGAGAAAGAAGTTGAGCTCTTCAAAAGTTAGAGGTCAACGGAGACAGTACAAAATCGATTTACATGAAAACGTTTCGTTAATTAAACAACGATAGCTTTATTGGTTCTCTAAAAACATCTTTTTTCTCATCTAATGAAAGATTATGGGGAAGCCAGTTGTTCGGGAGCCAGCGCTGAGCCCATAAAAGACACTGACTCCTCTGATCCTTTGCCTGAGAATTCGTTGATGTCAGTGTGTAATAACGTGATCTGGAATTTTGTTGGTTCGATGCAAAGAATTCTATACAGGATCCCATAATCAACCCTTATGTTCTATAAGAAAATCCATGCCAGTCTCACTTGGTGCTTCCTTTGAGAAACCCTGCAGAGAAACAGCAGAAGAATTTGTGTCACGGTTTTTACAGCAGCGAAAATGCATTCAAAGGTCAGTAGGACAATATTCATCATTTTGAGTACAACTTAAAAGATCCTGATTTCAGCTTGCAAAACTATCTTTTCAGTATTTCAAATCGAAGCAAACACAAACAGGGTTGGATAATTATGAAGGCCTCACAAGGAAATGTATATGGTACAACTTGTTTATCGATGAAAATGCTTCGGAGATGAAGGAAAGCAACACATAGATATCTCATAAAGAACGGGCATATTCTCCAGTGCTGTAAGACATAAATAACTAAGATCTGCATTAACATATACCTTTGTTTCTCTCAAAGGTTTGGCGGTTTTAATCCAGTGTAAGGCGATCCAAACTCCGCTGGAAAAATGTTTCGGATATTGTTTAACGCACAAAATGGCACAGCGACCCTGAAGTGTTTACCGAGATATTCCCAACATCAACGAACAAGCTATCTGTAGGCAATTTAGCGAAATTTCCTGCCAGGAAAGAAGCGAAAAACAACTAGCTCTAGAACTGTATTATTAAGTCAATGGCAAAAACAACCCAAGCAAATCGATCTCAAAATGTAACAAAACAGATGAAACAGAAAACATTAAGCTTACTCGTTTCCGGTGTGATTATCTGTGCCTTGCTGCTGCCTGTACGCGCAATTGGCCGTCTCCAGCACCCAGAAATCAAGGCAAATTGACTGAAAACCTGGATGCTCAGTGATACAACTTATCTGGGTTTCAGGCCCTCGCTACTCTACTTTTTGCCACAATTGCCCGATTTCCGTACAACAAACACTTTCATGAGTTGTCGGCATTGGTTGACAAGTTCCACACTCGCACCTTTGATAATTTTATATAAAACACTCTCAGAAGCTCAAGTTTAAAAAATTTCTGATGCATTCTTTTAGATTGTACCCTCGCTTTCTGAGTTTCCGAGACGGTCGCATCGCTGTCAACATGTTCTGTACTGTCTTCGTGCGGATCGCTTCGGTGAACCCTACGCGGCTCATATTGTTAAGAACGTGGCCCAGACTCTCCTGAAGATTCTGGATTATCCCCATCGCTGTTATGTACTAAGCTTAAGGCATTCGAGTCGCTATCTTCTGAAAAAATATCTTCCAAACTACCGCTACTTACACGAACTCCCACACCAGTTCTACTGGGGAATATGTGTTGCGCAATATTTTAGTTCCACCGCTTACGTCACGACTTCTCGCTATTGTTTTTACCGGAAATGGAATTTCAGTTGAAAATGCCGATTTTCTCCTAAAATAAGTCGAATTGGACAAAACGAATTTCAAATTCGTTTTCTACGCCACTTTTTACATAGTATAAGAAAAACATGTATTTTTGGGTTTACATGCCCTTTAAACCTATATATTATTTAGATATAATTCGATTGACAGACTTGTAGGAGTTCTTTGTAGCTTGTAGCCTTAGCAATAATCGCAAAGTGGAACATCTTTTATGCGACGCACCTCTCTTTACTGGTAATCATTAGGTCACCTTGAAGTTTGAATTTATGTTTAGGACACTTAAGAATCCTGGAAGAAGTCACCTGTAGTGTTAAAAGGATTTTTTAAAACTCTCTATAAAGTAGTGTTTTCCTCGTAACTCACTGAGGTCACCACAGCATAAAAAAGAAAAAAGACGATTATGAACTTTTGGGAAACTCTTTCAGGGCTTAAATTGATGTTGGAGTGTGTTTTTTATTCATCTTCTCAGATCCGGAGATTGATGACACGCGTCCCTAGCTATGTTTAAATACCATTCTTGGAAAACATTTTTATCTTTATAAAATGATCTGAATCATCAATTATGAAAAGTATTTTGCAATGATGCGTAAGATTAAAATTCAGTGTATCTTCCACAGATCAAGTGCTAGATCAACCGCAAGATCATGTCAGTGAGGTCATTTCATTTGAAGGTGGAGACAAATTTTTGACAGCCGATCCAACACCAAATCGGATGGATTGTCCAGGTGATTCTGCTGTTTTACACTGACTGTTTTGTCAAAGGCGAATTAATCAATCGTTTGCCGAAGCCATAGGATGAAATTTAAAAATCAGGATATTTTGCCACAGCCTATTTTATTTTTTTCCATTGTTTTTTACATTGTTATCTTCTCTGGCTGTTTAGAGGAAACAGCATGGACACAACTATGCATGAGCAGGATGTTATTTGCTGATTTTAACTATTGTTCGATAAGTAGACCATGATTTGTAGTCAGTTGCACTCAAGTTTCATGGTGGGCTCCGGGGCTATGACAAAGGAGACACCAAAGAAATAAAAGAATCAAGCCTTCTTGAAGGAGCAAATTTTTATCGTATTCGATCGACTTGGAAAAGTCACAACAAGTCGTAATACTAAACCAGCCCTTAACATTTTACAATCACATAGGTCAGTCAACATCTACACCTCAGGATCTCCAGAATACATCAGCAAAGGAATCTACAGTCTCTACAAATAAAATTGGTCCAGCTGAAACGGGTGATCATATGATATATATGAGAAAATATACTCCGGGCACACTACAGAAGAAGGTGAAAAGGAAAATAACCTTTCGTTTTTCGAGGCCACAAAGAAGAAAAAGGGACTGTAGGAAGATGCAAGTGTCCATGAGAGTCCTAAAGAGGTGCAAGCTTCGCAGGCAACATTCCAGGAAGGAGCCTTCAAACCGAAACAGCAAGACAAGCGCAATGAATTATCCATACAAACAGCCGGAAAAAAAGAAACAAGTTCTCGTGATACAACAGAAATAGAAACAACTTTCTGCAGAGATTTGCCGCCTAAAAAGTCAGCTTCCTCAACTGCAGAACAGGGAAAGGTTAACCAGGGCCTACCCAATGAGAAACTTATGAACCAGGCTCATGAACCAGGGAAACACCACGCAGGTGGAGAAGGAGGCCAGGAAAACGACTCAGGAAAACATCTGACTCCAGGAAACTTGTAAAGTAGTTATTTCCTAAAAACATTTTTATTTTGAATAAAGTCTGGGAAGTTATGACTCTGAGACTTGCAAGGGAAAAAGAATTCCTGTTGCAAACAAAAACTTTAGAGGTAACTATTATTTTGATTTTCCTGGTTTTGGTAGGTAACCCTAGGCCTTTCGGAGCGACAGGAAAAGAGTACGTCTATGAAAAGGGATCTTTCTTTGGCGTTGAAGAAAATAGAGAAATTGAGTTCAAGTCACTTGTAAAGGCCCATACTGATTCTCTTTCCTTGAAAAATAATAGAAAAGGTGAAGAAGTTTATATGCGCTCGCTTGAATAACGACCGGAGAGGCATTATATACTTTGGTGTTGGAGACAGTCAAGAGCAAGGATCAAGGTACAAGAATGGCGAAGTCGTGGGGCTTGATGTCACTGACATCAAAGATGATATCAATAAAGCCTTCCAATGCGTCCTGGATGACCACATTAAAAGCGATGCAGGACCGCTCCAGAAAGGCGGAGAACAAAACTGTATCATTCTTCACTTCGTTCCTGTGAGGATTCAAGGAAACAGCCCTAACCTGTTCGTCATAGAAATAGAGGTAGCGAGAGACTGGCGATTCTGTAATGATAAAGTTTATTATTCAAAAGAATAATGTCCAGAAACGCGACAAAGACTGCGCTGGAAAGAAGGCATTGGATGACTATTTCAAAGTGAAAGGCGATTTGTTTGATGACGTAGCAATTCGTACCAATGGAGCATCTAGCAGTGTGAAGCAGTTAGAATTCAACAGACGGGTGAAGAAACCACTCGAAGTAAAATACAAGGAATGGAGGAAGAAGGAAAAGCAAGGTTAGGACTCACATGATGACGTCATCTTGCTAATACTAAAAAATTAGATATCGTTATCATTTTGACTTAAGTATTCTGAAGAGTTCAGTGAATATCGAACTTTACAGCCCTCTAGCTTCAAAAGAAGTGACAGGTTTTGGTTTGTAACATCTTTTTTCAATCACAGCAACGCTTTCCAAGTACAATTCAGTCTCAATACATGAATATTCAACTTTGCTCTTGGTCATATCAGTTTTGCTTTTTCATTGGCCAGAAACTTAACTGTAATCATCAATTGTATTAAAGAACTTTGATGTTGAATTAATTGTTTTGTTTTGTTTTTTACTATTATTATTTCAGGTGCCAGCGGATTATACGAAGGTGAGCGAGTCTCATATATAGAGGATATTACATGGCCGCTGTAATATCCATGTAATAATACATGGCCGATGCGGCCATCAAAAGACCAGGCTGCACGCCTGAGCGGGAAACTCTCTCGTAATTGGCTAATCATGTTACTGACCATGGCGACACCAATATCCTCACACGTGAAAGATAAAAATAGTGTCTTCACTGCGCGCGATGAAGATATGATTTTTTAGTAAAAGGAAAAATCCTAGTATTTCATCAGTACCTACACAATAAAATTGTTGTCGTGTCATCCTTCTGATGCGATTCCTATTTCATTAGGGCCGAACACATATGAGTCAGCAGTCGGATGGGCTACCTTAGGAAAATACATTGTTATTCGCATTATAGGAGTCACTAATACTTTCTTTATTAGGAAAATTGAAAAGAGTAAAATTAAATAAATTTTGCTTCAGCAGAACACAGTCTCGAGGAAGCTGACGCAAAAAGATTCAGTATTGATGTGGGAGAGAGATTACGTGAACTGAACTATAAGGATAATGGCTACATACTTGTCGCAAATAAGCTGCCTGCCCTGTACAGAGGATCACCATAATTATCTTTTTTGAAAAACATTCCTTGGGTTGCCGTGTTTGACTTATTCAACCCGGCATCTAAAGTGGACGGCCTACACTATGCTTGTAATGAGACAACTGACGCAGTACGCGCGACAATTTATACCCTTGATGACTTCAAAGAAGTGACACCCGATAAAGATGCTCTCATTTCGACTCGAGGAACCACCTGGATTCTCAGTAATGAAGAAATGCAGAAAGGAAATTGGATAAAGTGTTCCAAGGATTGTCTGTACCGAGCTTTATCAGCTTACAAAGAATGCTTTCTTCCGGGGAAGCTTGTGTGCGTTTTTCTTTGTCTCGCTGAGAATGCAGTTCCCGAGATGGCAGATATTATGGAAAGCAGTTTCAGCATTTTTGGAAACTCGGCAAGTAGTTGCGTTACCATTCTCCGGTATTCCCTGGAGCTTATTGAAGGAAATCGTCCGCGAAATGGTCGGGCCTTCCAAGTTTGAGGAACCTGGAGCAAAAACAGAACTTCCGTATTTCACTGGACAAAGCAAAGCGGTTTTTAACAAAATCATCAACTCTTGGAATGATTTAGAAGTATATAGCCCAAATCCTCGGTTGTCCATGTTCGCAGATGCCATTGAAAGGGAGCGGGATGCATTTTATAAAGGCGCTCAGGCCAGTCAGATGAATCTAATGCAAAACCATACCATTGCTCGAAGTCTTGAAAAAGAAGTAACTGCTAAAGTTGATAAGGCGCTGAAGTCTTTGTCTAAGGAAAACATGGATGCCAACTACTACGTGAAGACTGTAACCGTTCCCTACGAGCCAGGATCTGGTGCTACTACTCTTTGCCGTAGGATCCTTTGGAACAAAAGAGAGGAATATCGTTGCGCTGTGGTAAAAGCCATAACACCTTCTACGGACTTTCAAATTGACAACTTCCAGCGAATTGCATATGACGAGAAGAATTCAAACTATTCACTTCCTGTACTTGTTCTTGTTGACAACTTTCCAGAGAACGATGTACGTCATTTGACAGATCAAATCATGAAAAGAAGGGCAAAATGTGTTGTGCTAACCACGCTGCCAATCCTGAAATCAGAAACTAATACACAGTTTGAGATAACACCCTTACGAAAGCTCAACGACACTGAAACGAGTCTTGTTAAGGACATTTTGATTAATATTATGGGCGACAGCCAGAAAAGAAGGGAGGCTGAGGAAGTCCTGGAGAGAGAAAAAAGGTTCATTTGGTTTGGTTTGGAACTTTTTGGACGAGACTACGTTAAAATAGAAGAGAGGCTTCAAAATCACATTCATATTATCCTAATGGGTGAGTCACAGAGGATGCATAAATCGGTCCTAGAAATGTGTTGTTTCCTCAACAAATACAGTGATGGTTGTGTTATCCTTCCTCACGCAGTTGCACTAGACTCTTTGCACGATACAAGTGCTGACAAACAAAGCTCAGGGATTAACGAAATCCATGAAGTATTTGGAGGACTGCTCCTTGAGGAACAGAACGAAACCAATGGATATTATGGTTGGCGCCCCGCACATCCTCTTGTTAGCGATGTGGTTACATCAGGGATAAGTATCGAAGGGACAGCTATACGTTGTCTTGAACAAGCTTGCAGTGGAAAGGCATACGTGATGAAGTTTCTAAGACGTCAAATTTTCCGACTGTATCTAGATCGAAAAAGATTGTCCGATCCTGTCTTCGTAGAAGACCAAGCCTTAGACGATGGCGCAGTCGGTGCTGATTTAGAGAACGAAGTCTTCGGGTTTCACGATAAACGCACCCGGTATTCGCCTGTCATCGTGGACATCATGGATAAAGAAGAAAACATTGAAGGGGCTCTTAGGGTTCTTCTAACCATCTGTGAGAAGGCCACACAAATTGAGGATAAGGCTTACGCGTGGCAACAGTTAGCACGATTTATAGGGTACGAATTGCGTGCCAACGAAATGGACGCAACCAACGAACTAAATAAGCGACTTCACCACACTATGACGGAAATAAAACAAATCAAGGTAACCATACCACGAACCGGAATCGATATTGCTGTCTCCCTTCAGCCCAGTTACACCAACCATTACACCACCAAAGGTGTTCTTTACTTTCATCAATTAAGGGATTTCAAGACCAAGACGCCTTTACTTCGAGCTCTTCCAGACGCCGTCGAAATATGCCGCAAAGCGTTGGGCGTATACCATAAAGCGCTCGAGACCTCACGTGAACCTAACCATTTCTCAATGATTGGTAAGATCCAAGCCAATGTCTCCCTCCTGGAAATTGTTAAGGATCTACCCTGCTTTAACTCCGATGAGGGAAAGTTTACGATGTACTTAGAGAGAAGAACTGTTCCTCATGAATTAGAGAACGCTCTTTCCCCGGAAGACCGCGATTACGTACAGAGACTTGGAACCACCACACTCGACTTATTGAACGAGCTTTTCGGACATGTGAAGCTTAAACAAACAACTACTTATGATGAAAAAGGGGGAAGGGGTCTTAACAATGCAAAGATTAGAGCTTCCAATCTACGTCGAAAATTTTATGAGATTACAGGATTCGACAAAAAGGAGTTAAGCAGTGATGACAACTCACTGCTCCTCTCCCTCTCACCAAAACAACCGCTTGCGGTTTATCAGCAGAAAGTTCAAGACATTCTCTTCATGAAAGACGAAACACCTTACAGCGCATGGTCAAACCTGACTGATGGAGAAATAATCAAAATCTACTTTCTGCTGAGGCCTCTTTGTCTTCGTGGGCAAGGAAGCTATAATGACATGTTGATTTGCTCCAAGGCAGGTCTTCAACTTAAAGAGAAACCTTCAGTTCAAGAGCTTGACAACATCGTTAGCGAGTGGGTACGGAAGTATCCAAATTCAGAATGGGCCCATCTTTTCTACTATATGATTCACTTTCCAATCCCAAATGCATCTCTTGCACCTTGTAATGCAGCAGCGAGGGAATCTGTCAAAAATTGTGGCAGGATTGTTCGAGAAAAAGCAGGTTCAGGATTTCGGAAATCCGGTGCTGAGTACTTTCTTGGTAAAGGGATTGGTCTCAACGCCATTCTAAGTAGCCAGGAGTTTCGGTGGCTAGAAACCAAATGGAAAACCAAGACGGATTTTTGGCGAGGCAAGGAACCTTCTGAGAGGTTGGAACGCGTGCAAGGTCGGAAAGAGGTCGGCAGTAAAGGCATTATTTCGTACCAAGGAATTCAACTGCACTTTGATAACACACTTTATCCCAACGAAAGCAAGGACGATCTCTGGTTTTACGTTGGTTTCACACTCGCTGGGCCCTATGCATATGATCCAGTCGACAAGGACAAATACACTAGTTTGAAAAGACAAATAGGGAGTACCACACCTATGACAACATCCCATCCAATACCTGAAAGGTTTGACAACAGAGACAGATGGAGCCTTCCTCGACACTTTGTTGCTGGCAAAAAAACGAACAAAACCTCATCAGATTTACCTCAAGGAAACATCGGTGCCATCCAAAGTGAGCGGACTTACACCCCTCCTGTTTCACGAACTCGAAGACATGACAGAGATTTTTATCCCAAGGTAAGATCCGATGATGTTTCGGAATGGGGCACAGACGTCTCAGACTTACCACGCCACATTAGCTCATCAGATGTCCCTGTTAATTCTTATTTGCCTGAGGCAAAACGAAACACAGACTGGAGTATGTCAGCGTTCGCTTCGCGAAAGGAAGAGGCAAGTCAGCAGAAACATTCTTTGGCAGCAAGAAGCCGAACTAAACAGGAACGAACTAAATGGAAATCGGTAATAGGAACTAAGGGTCCATCAGAGGCCAAACCTGTGCTGTTAGATGATCCCTGGGGTTCCACTAATGATTGGGGAGCGCCCCTTCTCGAATGGGGTGAAGAAGTTGATGACCATGATGATGGTGATCATGACGATGAGGGAAACAAGGAGAACGGCGCAGAGGCGTCAGACCTGTGGATGACGCTTGGGCCCAATAGATTCAGCGCCTCATCGGAGTGATTTAATGAAGAAGCTGTGTTTTGAAAAACGGGAGGACTCTTCAAATGTTGCAGCTAGGAGAGATTGAAACTGTTTTATTCTCCAACAGCATAAAGTACTAATAATGATTACGAGACTCTTTCCTTCCATTTGAAGATGATTTCTCCAACTTAATCAAGATCGTTAGATTATTCGTCATCACAAGGACGAAAGCAACTCTTCGAAAAGTTTATTCCAAAGAAAATTTGAATTAGTCTTTAGACAAGCTGCAGATAAGTCTTGGACTGGAGAGCGGTAACACTTTAAGTGTCCTTTTCTCCAAAGAATCAAATGTTTTATACGTGCATAATTCCAATTTAACAGTGATGGCCAAAATGTCATCCACATAATCGCTATGTTGCTCCAAGTTGCCTTGATTAGTTCTAACTTTCTTACGACAATGATTATTATGCTTCTTTCGTACCTTAAAATTTTCGCCATATGTCTTTGTTTTCGGCTTCGAAGTTTGTGACAACTCGAACTTGGCAATGATCTACGTGACATGGATGTTAGCCATTATTGTCGGTTCTAGCGAAGCGTGCCCAAATAGGATGTTGTACGCTCTCCTTCCTATCAAGTTGACAAATGAGCACTAGGGTTCAGCGCTCGCATCTTCGATTAATATCGAAAAAAATTGTCATTCGTCTTAGTGAAGTGTAATAACTTTAAACCCGTCATTGTCATTTGTCGTAAGCTGTATTCTCTTCTGATAAGGAGGCGACTTCTTGCAGATCACTTTGTGTCGTATGAGGCTCTCTTAAATTTACTATGATTAATTATCCGCTCTTCCTTCTGGTTTTAAAGAGGTTGCCATCGTGTTGTTCCTGGGTGCAGTTATGTAGTTGTCCATCAATATACTTTGCTTTGCCAGAGTTCAGGACGTGGGTGCGGGCCAAGGTGTAATATTTCGATTATATTCCTTGATTGTGTTTGCATAGGCGTTCTACCCTCACCAGTATAACTATACAACAATTGTAGGCCGGCCGGAATCGTGTGAGACACGTGATCTTGTTCAGTCATACCAGCAGCGTAATTCTATTCTTCTTTCATTTTTTTCCTTAATCTAATTGTAACGCACACCTTACCTTCTCATTTCTGTGGTTACTGCCTCTTGTAGGAGGCGAAGCCACATACGCTATCGAAATGAGTGAGTGAGTGGGTAAGTGATGGTAGGTAACAATCGAAAGCCGAACACTTCAAAATAATTTCACGATGACTTCTTCTGCCCGAAATTGAAAACAAGACTTTTCCTTGCATAAATATTTTAATAGGTGCGATGTACACATCGTGGAAACTTTGAAGACAAATTTTACTTATTCAAAGAGAGAATTTTACCATTTTAATCAGCGACTAATGCCCAAAAGAGCCGTTAAATTTGCGAAGCGAGAAAGATACGGAATTTAACATGGTAATCATATTGGACAAATGATAGGACGATGGAATGGAAGAATATCCTAGAACGCGGCATGCCTTATTGTATGGAACAAAAGTCTCACAAAAATGGAATTTCAATGAAATGAGAAAATTAATTATAATTAATAGGTAAAATTAAAAGAATCATAGTTTAATCATTATTGGAGCCTAAAGGATAGACCAAGAACAGTGAGGTTCTTAAGCTAAACCCTACAAATTATCATTACTATTATTATTGTTATTATTACTTATTATTGTTATTATTACTATTATTATAATTATTGTCGATATGATTGTTTGTGGCCATCTAATTATTGGTTGAATTTCAATCTTCTCTTGTGGAACAGGGTACTCGTAAATATGTGGGATGCGGAAGGTTTTTGTGCTATATCAGTAGCCACGTGGAGTCTCAGAATGTTTTTCTCTTAAAGTTGTCGATTGTAAAGTGAAAATTTTTACTCTTAAGAAGCTTTGAAAATGTAGGAATCCTGACTTGAAAGGCTCCACTTTAACTTTTGGGGAATGTTTTCCTTGATTAGCGACAAATCAAGTCTTACTGAACGTCGGCCAAAACTAGCAATGTATATCCAATAGTCTCAATCAATAGCTCAAGTGTTTCCACCCTGTTTTTGCTGCTAATGCGCCTTCTGATTATCATAAAAGAAACAAGGGAAACTCACAAGCATTGAACTACTCTTGAGCTACGAGTCGAAGATGTAGTATTTGTAATCGGCTTTACGTCGATGCGAATCCACAAGATGAGACAATTTCAATTTTAATTTTGAAATCAACTTGAAGACAATTTTATTACAATCGCCTGATGGACGGCTTATAATTACACATGTAACACAAGTGGTCAGAGCTATCTTCATGTAACTCCAAAATACTGACAAACTTGACAAGTGTGATAGGGCAAAACCAAAAACGGCAAAAGAATAAGCAAGTAGTAGAAAGGACAGAATTAACTTCCTTTTTTGGGCTGGTCAATTAGAAAAGACTTATCATTTTAACAGATGCGTTTTAAATTACATTTGCTGTATGGCTCTCCGATTATGTTTTCTTTTTCACTTGCAAAGTGCTTAAGCACGGGAGACTAAGATATGATCATTTTTAGCGCCCAGGGACAACCTTACATTCCCAGAACCAATGCTGCGTTTCCTTCATGTTGAACGAAGGCTTTCAAGAAGACTTATGAGTCTTTGATTTTATTTCTGCAGTTCTTTCTTGTGCTCCTTTAACAGCTGCAACTTAAAATTCGGTGTGGAAGAACTTGGTGCCTTGTTTTTCAGCCACTGCATGGTTAAAGGGAAACCAAATATCCGCACACTAGATCTGTATCCATACCAAGGAGGACATCTGATAAGAAAACGGCGTTTAACAACAATGAAATTTTCACCCGCAGTTTGTTGACTTAATATTTTGCTTTTAAGCATAGTACAGCAACTGCAATAGCTGGCTTAGTTTGTGCACAGATTTACCAAGCCAGACAACATAAGACAACTCAAGACAACCGAACACCCCTCAGATCACTTCAATCAATGACGAGCTCAACGCGACGGAGAACGTTTTCTTTTAAGAATTAATTTTGACGATGCAGAGAATTCGTTGACTAAAGATTTGCGATGAGTGATTTGGAAAATCAACTTTTAATTGAATTACATTGAGCGAAATAACTTAGTCTTGATGAAACTTATTGTACGTTACCTTTGATCGTCATAGTCTGGGCTTGGAATTGTAGATTTTGTCTTTCTGAAAGAAACAAGAAGATTATAGTTTTCACAATACAATACTAATGAGTGACACTGTAACAAAAACAGGACAGCTGCCTAGCCTTGGACACCTAGCCAAGAGGGCACTCTTTTGGTTTCGCGCCCATTTTCGCTTTTGAGACGATCGAAACCATAGCAAGAACACCGGTTGCAATACGTCAGGTTTCTTGGTAAAATTCGGTGAGCGAGATTCAGTTCTTACAGCTTCTAGGGAGTCCAAATACCTATAAGTGTCAGAAAAGGACATAAAGAAATAGGGATTTCTAATGGTTAACACTAAACGAAGTAAATCCTTTGGGTCTAGAGAACATCCAATTACTGATCGTTGTCTCTGATCACTGAGAGAACGCCATACGAAAGGTGCTGTTTCTTGCTACCAGAAATCGGTTTTACATCAACTTTATGCGTTAGGGGAAGTAGAAGCGCCGATCGATTATGATGCATTACAACAATAGGCTAACTCAGCACTTTAAAGAAGTGGTCCGTAAGGTAACAGAGGTTACCTCGATCATTGAGGTGTGAAGTGATTAGGAGTATTGCTCCCCTTTCTGAATGGGATGTTACTCCATAGCAAATTACCCCGACCCCAACAATGTTGTCAAGTTTCGTGAAAGTTCGCTTCCAATTTCTTAAACTGCTAGTAGGAAAGATACAGCGGAGGAATTTAATGCCAGGCCCAAGAATACGACACGATGACTGGGCCAGGTTTCGAACCAGGACCCCTCGACCTGCAGTCAGGCGCTAATTCATCAGCATGCCGTTAGGTGTCTAACCGAAAAATTTGACTTCAAACTATACACTAACCTCTCTTAGTTCTCCAATTTGATATTTAGAGAGAATCTTTAGAGCTTCAAACGAGTGGCCTATGTCTTGGAATACAGTTGTAGCATCCATACCTGGAATGAACAGGCAAAGGCCGGCGATAGTTCAGTTCCCTTCCATGCAGTGTAATATAACAACTGTCCTGAGTCAGACTAGTCTGAACACTCAAAGAACGAATTTACAACTACCGAATAAAGTTTTGTTGGTTTTTTGAGCCTCATCGGTATGCTATCCAAAAAATAACTACTTTCTAAAGATCGTTTTTATCCCGGTTTCACATCATGTAAACTTCAAAGATTTCAAAGAGACTTTGCCGTTCTTGCTAAATGGTGACAATTTCCGGCTTGAAAAGGCAAACTATGGACTTAACACATCTTAATTTCCGCAGAAAATTGCAGCTTAAGCAGCTGTTTGCTTTGATTTTCTACCAACTCACCTGCGTGTTCTAGAATGATTTCCCTTCCGCCTTGATGCTGAAGAAGACCGAAAATAAATTACCAAGCTCAAAGAAAGATAATTAAGTTTATATCCAAGGATGAGTGTAGGTCAGATTTACCGAAAAGCTTGCTTTTAGTATGAAATGATACAGTTTGATTACCCAACTGGTCTGAGGTTGCAAGACGAATTTCTGTTTCTCCATATGGGAAGTATTACCACGGTCATCGAGGTCAATAAATCGCAACATTTCAAGCTACATCGCGTTAATGGAAAAAACAATTTCTAGCCTGATTAATGAGACGTAATCAGTCGCCTTTAGTGAGTCAGCTGAGACTTATTTTTGAATTTCCTTACGTGCCCGAAGCTCAAACCATCGAATTATGTTACATCTTAATTCTATTATCTGAATTTCAACAGTATTAAGCCTTCAACCCATGAGAGTATTTAGCATCTAATTCCTCCTTACAATATCACCCCTGGATCAAACATTCAGAGCACGAGCATAAAAAAATGATTACCGACTGGATGAGCTCTTTATTGTTCAACAAATTCTCTTTGTTAGCAGCTTAGGAAATATATAGAGAACAGCACGGATAATATGGATACTGATGTAGGGTTGATGGTTAATATCTCGTAGACAAAATTAGGCTTTTTATCTAAATCCTTACAGTCATACAGCCATGCAGGGCCTCAAGCTCAACATCTACACTCCTACGTTTTACTCTCACCAACCAAAGTTAGTTATTGTTATTACCATGTAATGAGGCCGTTACAAACTTAAGAGTCCAAACAGCTGTGATATGGGCACATCACTTGAGCTGTAACTGTCTACCAATTTACAGTAGCTTCATTCCTCCCCCCCCCTCTTTGAAAGATCCTCTTAATAGGGGTGTTCATCGGTAGGTGTCAATCTGCATCTGGCCGGAATAAGATTTCGTTAAGAACGAACTCGGATACCATTTGGCCAAAGGTACATGAAACATAAATCAATCCAAGCCCACTCCATTTGAAGCCTAGTCGTAACGCTAATTTTTATTCCATCCTTACCAAATAATTATTTAACTTACCTCGTCCAAAAAATTGGTCACATCATACACTTTATCGTGAATTACAACCCAACACGAAGACATGTCAGTGTGAAACGAAACTTCCATCAGCGAAAATATTTTCGATTTTGTTGGAATTATTGTCATCCTTTGACTGCTGGATATCGGGTCCATCAACCGCAGCGAAAATACTGAACTATTTTAATCTTAGGAAAGAAAAAAAAATCAGTTAACTTTGAAAGATATAATAGTTAAGATATAAAATCAGTGCCTTCTATGTCCTTTGCGAGCGAATAATTCTACACCACTTTGATGGGGATCGCGATCTTTCGTCCTGCAAGATATACACTGCGTAACTTAAAAAACAAGTTTCCTTTCCGAGAATTTCTAAACAATACCATTCTTCGCTGGTGCTGGGTTAGATTTTAAAAATTCTGGAGTGCAGAATCGCAAAGCGACAGTCGGCTTCATATGGACCGTAGGAGAATCGGATACCATCGGTATTGCTCTATATTTTCCCTTAGCAATCATTTCCTCCTCGCAGAAGGCTTGAAGGTAAACTACCTTCAAAATGAAAATTATTTAAAACTCTTTTGTATCGTACCTGGTAACCAGAGATGATTTCTTTGTTTCTGAGGTCCGTAACTGTACTTCGGCTTACCAACGATCTGAATATAAAACTAGCGTTTTAAACGAGAAAAGGGGTTTGAATCAAATAAAAGTCTCGAAATTTCTCACATAGCCACAAGTATGAAGTAAACTTTTCTTAATTACGTGCGAATATATTTGGTTTCGGAGTATTCACTAACAAATAACAAATAACAATGACCTGCTTTAAATAATTGAAACATCAGAAAATAGCATTATATACGAAATACAGTGACGTATTTGTAAAACGATTGATTGGTTAGATGAATTTGTCAGATTTGTGATTTGATAAGAATCATCCCATTCAAACCAAAACAAACCAACAAGAAGTAATAAACGAATCAGACGTACGTATCATTGAAATTACTGTTCCAATCACTCAGCTACTCTGAATTGTTCAAAAGCTGGGTTAAGCATACAAAACTGATTACACAAAGTGTGAAAGTATTGTATTAAGAGTTCGGTGGCTTGCAACTAACCCACAAATTTAGCCTGAAGTGGAATTTATCTTTTTGGTCTCGGGTCAGTTGAACAGGGTTTACGATTCCTAGACCAGGCGTTTCCTTGGTAACATGTCTTTCTTCAGGTGTGGGATTAGGCGATTATGTTATTATGTGTAGTGCATGCAAATTTTCCTAAATCAAACTCTAAGATGTTCTCTCTAAGTAAATTAAAGGTGATGAAATAAGCGCGATTATGGGGGCGAAATAGTACAAAAGTTTTTAAAGATCTGGCGAGACGCCTCTGCACAAAATTAACCTTGGAAGATACTGAGTTAACAACATTTTTCTTGAGAGAGGCTTTCAGTCCAGATAAAATAACCATTGCAATGTTCAAAATAAATTTTACAGAAATTTTCATTCTGACGAGAACATTTCCGAATCATATGAATACCGAGAATATCTAAATACCAATTTATCTGCATTCGCGCGACAACCATAAGCAGGAAATTTTAGGTATGAATCGGTCTTTCACGTTACCGGCCCTGGCGATAAAATTTACCTCGTGTGAACATAACAAAGGCCCAATTCGTCTCTCTAACTGAACCACACACATTTGCACAGGCCCTTACAGTGTAATTGTGCCTGACAGTTCCTCGAAAGTTTCCCATGGATCCTATTATCAAATCAAATGGCGTCGTTATCGAACCGGAAATTTCACTAGAGCGATAGCTCACGTAAACGCTGTTTACAGTACTAAAGTGAATAAGTAAACTTTAATATTCAGCTTTATCAAAATTTGTTGTTATGGACGACACCAAGAAAAAAAAGACTACGTCGTCGTCTAAAGAACACAACTTTCTAAACGTCTGAATTTCTTTTGGAACTTAGAGCTGACATACACTCTCTAACAGACAAGTTTTATAACTCATAATTATTCTTTATAACAATACATACCAAGGAAATGAATTGAACTCACCAAGAATACTATAACTTGAATATGAACAAAACAATTCTTGGTGATTGTTCACACTTTACCTCCACTCATTGGTCAGTTGTTTTGTTCTGTTGATAATAACCTCGTTGTCTTTGGCGAATAATTCCGCAGATGGAGCAGAGTTTGTTCATATTTTGAGGTACCGCACTCATGAATGTAACAGAAACATTAGAATCTCTTCGCCAGAAATAGGAATTTTATATCAGTCAGTGATTTAATACCGAAATGATGTTATGTTGTCAAATTGTAACTGACTTTTTAAAAAAGATTATTTATTAGACAGCCTTTCTTATCTTCTTAAAAATAATCCGTGAACTTATGCAACAACGGGCCGGAAATTTGGCCATAGTTGCGAAAGATTGCGTTAGATTGCCCTGTGTCCAGTATGTTCGGCGGAACAAACGGTTGCAAAACTCAAACAAAAGATACTTGAACTCGATATCGCCATACTTATGACTCTTAGCAGAGCCACATACAATTGTAAAACAAATCTGTTTTCCCAAAGGCAATGTATTGTTTTTGGCGTTGTTTTCTCTCTCTCTCCAAGAACTGAATGCATAATGTAGTGTGGGGCTGTGCGGAAATTTTACCCCGTCATCTAAGTACGATCAAAGAGTTATGTAATTCAAATCGTAGAGAGGAGTTGCGTAATGCAACACGAGGGTCGAAAAAAGCACGTCACGAAAAAGGAACTGAGTTTTTCTACACAAAAGCAGATGGTCTAAATATTAGTTTCAGTCAGGTCTCCGTCGAAAATTTAACACAAGACGTAATTTTCCCTGCAGCAATTCACAAGTTTAAGCTAGTTCTCGTTACTCACCTTCTTTCAAAGGTTTCGATCGAGTTTTTAAGTGTTGTGGTAACTGTAAAGCCCCTTCTCGATCAAAGCTTTGTCGTTTGCAAAATCATCAACCATGAAAACAGGAGTTTGAACTGCGCCATAGCAATTTAAAATATTAGCCTGGATAACAAAAGACCACATTGTTAGACGACGCGCTATTTATATGTATTCAAAAATGATTTTGCTGAAAGAGCGTGTTGGAGGTGTGTCAACTCCTTTACGTTGATTGGCTAGAAGAATTTTCATACAATCCAATACTGTCACGCAAAACTTAAGGTTACTTCTCACTTTCAGAGGCCGAAAACATTTGATTTTTCTTTTACTTGACTAAACTGAATTCAAACCTTTGACCTAACGTTTCCATAAAAAAATTTCTGAAATCTTTAAAAGCATCCGAGTTATCTAGAAAAACTTGTTTTGAAATAAAAGTTAATAAATCAGGAAGGTGTCATGATCTCGAACCTGGGCGAATCCCCTGGGGTAATTTTCACGGCAACCGCTCATGTCGGGGCTCGATTTTCATGTTATTTCCATATTTTGTTTACATCGCGCATTTTACAAAATTCACCCGTGGAGACTCTTTGTTTATGGAAAAATCTCTGTTCATAGAAAAATCAAACGCGGAAGAAAATCTGATATAAAAAAAACAAAATAAATAAAAACAAAACTAAACAAAAAAACAAAAACCGGCCCAAAGAAGAAAGAAAGAGTAACATTCTGTCAAGAAAAGAAAAAAGATCCTTTGTTAAAGCGACCGGTACTGGCAGAGCTCCACGCTGGCGTCCAGATTTCGAACAAAGAAGTCGCCGTCAAACCAAAATTTGCCATGCATGATGTTAAAAACGAGGTTTCTTTTTCTTTGTGCAAGTACCAGCCTTGATACAAAAACATTAACAATCGCCTCGAATCGTAATTTTGAAAGCTGTGCGTCGATTCGTTGTTTCTCTCCTTAGAACATGTCTGAAATGGGTTACTTTTCCAGGAAAATTTGGTCTATCGTCATTGACACCAGGAGGTTCCGTTGTCCTAAAGGTTTGCGAGATAATCTCCTAGCGTGGCGCGAGTTGTTTGCGAACCTTTGTCAGCTAAAATCTCGGATTCGATTTTGGGAGGAATACAACTACTTCAAGCGAATTTATGGGGTATACAGATGTGACAGATTTTCCTCAAATTTCGCCAAAACATTCCGGGAATAATGAAAAACGAAAGCGTATCGAAAAATTTTGATATTTGAAATATTTGTCCCGTGGCCGTGGCGTCCATTTACGCAATACACATCGCTTATTTTCAGCTACTCCGACTACTCATAAGCTAAGTCAAGGGTTAGTCCTTTACAGTCAGTGTCGATCCTCTTCATTCTAGAAAATTCTCGTTTTTCCTTGATTCATCTTTCCATTTTGATATTTTTAATGATGATCAGTGGTTTTGGGGAAGTTTTGCGGGTTACGAAAGGAATTTCAAATTGTCATGTCTTTGTCTTCAATATGGCAATTGTCTTGGCATATGATTATAAATGATTATGCCATTAAACCCAGAAGTAGATTCCATTTCGTTTTTCCATTGTGATAATAGTACTTCGTCTCACGAGACTCTCTTTATGTCCTAAAAGACTACAAATTTGATGCACAATATGTAATTTTTCAAGAAACCTAACTGCAATCATGCATTCGTGGCAACTGATAACACATGCAGATACAATGAATGTGAAGGCCGGACATGTTTTCCAATATTCATCTGTCCATTCAGTCAGGAATTTGTTTGTTCGCGGCGTTGTAATTTGATAACCAAAGGTGTGCCTGTCCTAGTGCATGATGCATTCATCGCAATGAACCATTGCAGTAACTCAAAAGAGTACCAAGGTGGTCAGTCAGATAGTTGCCAGTTTTGAGCTCTAATCGAGTTTGACCGCCCAGTAATGTATTGTATCAAAATTAGCGGTTCTTTTGCTTTGCAACTTGAGACAATCATTTTATGATGTACCCCAGGAGAGTTCTCGCGCACAATCCAAAGGGAATAAATTTATATCCAATAAGGCTTATAGAGGCCAAATAAATGGTCAAAATCTCGTTCACCTTGCCGGAAGAGAAAACCATAGTTGCGACTCATATCCTCATATTTTGCCCGAGCACCTGCCAGAGATGCCAATAACATGGAATAAAACTTCATTGTAGATCAGTAATTAATTCAGCCTGTTCCCTGACCCTTGCATGTGACGCGAGAAAAACGATGATAAAGGCTTCTACTCTTC